CACTTGTTGAACAGTAGTTTAAAGTGACATTTCCAAACTAAACGTCACCTTAAACCATCAGTGTTCAACGAATGGATAATTTTAATTTTTATTAGTAAGGGGGGTAGTGTGTTATATTTACACGCGGACTTAACTCTCTACATAATAGGTAGAGCACCTTCATCATAATTACAGCCTCTTGACTTTTACATGGCATTCAGTTACGAGCGTCCAAAGGTTGCAATCAGGAAATTACGTGGCGACATTTGAACAATGATGCAGATCACTGTCAATCTTTGAAGACTGAACAGTTGGATGGTAATTCGTTATTATGTTATTAAAATAACTTTAATAAAACTTACATAAATAAAAAAACTTAGGTACAAATAAGGGTTAAAGTGTTTTAACGCCATTCTTGTTACTTAGTGTTGGGCTGATGCTGTGTAGGTTTGTTGTCGACACGACAAGAAGAAGAAGTGTTTTAAAAAAGCTTTTTACTTTAAGCTTATGAAATAACTGTAGTTTCGTTAAAACGATTTTTATCTGTCTGTTTGTTCCAGGTAATCTATGAAACGGTGGAACCGACTTTGATTTAGCTTTCTTTAGAAGATAAGGTGTAACAACTAAGGTTTTTTTAATAGGTTAATAAAACATTTATAAATAGTCCAGTCAATAAAGCATTATAGATGGAAAACTGTAGAACACAATTTCTGACTTCAGGACTTTATTTAGACTAGTTAGGAGGTGAACATAGCAAAAGTCCCCGCCCATAGCACTTGAGCCGGCGGGGAGAGGGGGGTTGAAAGGTGCCACTTTTCGGTTTTTCGCTTAATCCTCGGAAACTATGCGTCCTAGTGACATGACTACTTTGAACCAAAAAAAGCATATTCATTTTGCTACAGATGAGATAGACAAGTTTTTCTATAAATTGTATAGTTTTCGCGGCATCTGCTCTAGAAGGTCTGTAATATTGGAAATTTTATTTTTGTCTTACATATTCCCATCAGGAGAAAATCGACTAAATCAACATTGAGCAATTATTCTAGACATGCGGGAGCATGTTAAGCCTAGTTCCAGCGAGGGGACTACACCGTGCGTATATTTAGACGAATCACTTTGAGCCACTTTTGACTCCTCATCACTCAAAAACTACTGTGCATTAACACTTCAAATTTGGCTCATGTGTTGAGACTTACAAGATATACATCAGTTTCAAATTTCATAAATATGCCTCAAACGGTTCTTTAGATATTGACGTCCAAAAATCTACATGTCTGACCTATAGACCAAATTCTAACCACTTCCAGATGACCTCGAAGGTTCAAATTTGGCATCCAGAAAGGTAGTTATGTAAATACAAAGGAACAAATAAAAAACCAGTAAATTTTAACATTTCACATGTGATAGATAGATAGTAGTGCTCTAAATATCGATTTTTGAACGTCAATACCTAAATAACCGTTTGAGGTATATTTATGAAATTTGAAGCTGATGTACATCTTGCAAGTCTCAATACATGAGCCAAATTTGAAGTGTTAATGCACAGTAGTTTTTGAATGATGAGGAGTAAAAAGTGGCTCTAATTGGTTCGTCTAAATATACGCACGGTGCAGTCCCCTCCATGGAACTAGGCTTAACATGCTCCCGCATGTCTATAGTGTTTGCTCAATGTTGATTTAGTCGATTTTCTCCTGAAAGGAACATGTAAGACAACAATAAAATTTCCAATTTTACAGACCTTCTAGAGCAGATGCCGCAAAAACTATACAAGATATAGAAAAACTTGACTGTCTCACCTGTAGCAAATTGAATAAGCTTTTTTTGGTTCATATTAGTCATGTCACTAGGACGCATAGTTTCCGAGGATTAAGCGAAAAACCGAAAAGTGGCACCTTTAAACCACCCTCTCCCCGCCGGCTCAAGGGCTAAGGGCGGGGACTTTTGCCATGCTCACCACCTAACTAGGCTAAATAAAGTCCCGAGGTCAGAAATTGTGTTCCATGGATTTCTCTCTACACCATCGTTAAGGCATTCATTGACTGGACTAAAAGCTTACTGTCTAGTAAGTATATTTGCCTAAATGTAAAAATAATTTCCGCAGAACAACGTATTAAAACTTCGTTCAAGTTAAATAAAAAAAGTTTTACTATCATAATGAAGGTAGGTGTAAAAATAAATATTGCGCTTGAAATTAATTATTTTTGCACCTGTACAATGTTAAGTATTGTTATTAACTGACTACGCCATTAAAAGATGCATAGCATTACCATAAACAATTTATGTTGGTGGTTACGTAACTCTGTACAACACCTTCACAGTCCATAAAATATCGCGTGCAAACAATTCAAATAAAATTGTTAAAGATATTACGTTGAAACATAAATAAGTTAGATTTAAGTTCTTGTTTAAATGAACGTTCAATTAATTAATTTCACGTTTCGAAATTGCAGTTATTAATTATTGAACTAAATGTTACATCAATTTAACAACCAATCAACCTCTAACTCTAACTATATCTAGTCTGGTGTACTAACTCTCCCTTTCTAACTTGTTTAGAGCTTTTATGAAACCTGCAATCGCACAGCGAAAGGCTCACCAAACTCTCAAACTGTTTCTGAACGTCTAGGTTTGTCTTAGATTAAGACGAAAATACCTTTTAAGTAAAAACTAAACAAAAGTAAACTTACCTTAGAAAATTTGTCCTTTCCGGCCGGCAACAGATACTAAAATCAAAACACAACACAAATCACCAACGGAACAGAACAAACACTAAAAAACTCCTTGGTCGTTCACAAAAAAAAACTTTAAGCACTGTGAGCCGGAGCCACGAAATTGAAATTTAAAAAGTACACAATATTATTGGCGCGCAGTTTGACAGATGGATCAAGATGGCGGAAGGCAAGGCGGCCGTTCTCTTCAAGAACTCGAGGTCGACTGAATGAGTTAAATTGCGGAGTGAGAGAGCCTGTTACGTGGTTGAAGCCTTTGGTGCAAATAATTCGTAGGAGGCCGTTTCTTTGCAAGGAAAACAACTTGTTTTTTTTTTATTGTAATCCAATATTAATGTGCCATTTGACAAACAATTGAAATGGCGATTGAATCAGTTATCTTTTAAAAGGTCTGTAGTGGAAAAGGTTTATTGTATTATCTCGATTAGATCTCTATAGAAATTAAGCAAAAAAGAAGGAAGGACAGTCTCTTTATACATTATTATAATTTATCAACTTCTTAATGTTATCTTCTGAAATAATTTATTGTTTATTTCTGGTGCCACTTACCAAACTTCTTATTCCATTTTACCTATGATTAAAAAATAAAGTGGTTTGATTTTTAGAAACTTTTTGTTATCATTTTAACGAGTGTAGGTGTATTGATGACAAAATCAGCACACCTGTTGCGTTTCCGAGTGTTTGCATAGAGTTTACTAACTCTACATTTATTGCAAGTTGGTAATATTTACCTACTAAGTTTGTACAGACAGCATAGCATAACTACTCATGGCTATATGTAGGTAAGAAGGTACGCCTCCCACTATGACTAGGTGGACCGACGATCTGGAGAAGATCGCAGGAAGTAGGATGCGGGCAGGCAGCCAGTTGAGTGCCGGACCGTGAGTTTAGGGGCCCTGGGCTAATTATACTACTTACTTAGGAGCCCACCTACTATCGCATTAAGTATCGTCTATTTTTGACTTTGACTTGACTTAGCTGGGGGCCCCTTGAATCCACGGGGGAATCCGGCTCTGCAGGCAGCGCAACTTCGTTTGTCCAGCAGTGGACGTCATTTGGGTAGACCGACAAAGAAAGACTGTTGCCCCTTTAGCCCTGTGAAGCCGCCTATGGTCAAAATATCCCATCTATAGGAGAAGTATTTACTTACTTAGTATCTAGTCGGCCGTTTGGTGTAGTGGTTCGAAACGGACTACTATTCCGGAGGTAGCGAGTTCGATTCCCGCACAGTACAAACATTTGTGTGCATGAACATATTTGTTTGTATTGGACTGGGTGTTTTCTATGTATAATAAGTATGTATTTACAAAAAAATATTTAAGTATGTTTATATCCGTTGTCTGTAACCATAGTACAAGCTTTGCTTAGTTTGGGACTAGAAGCGCAGTGTAAAATGTCCAAGGATATTTATTTATTTATCTAGAATTCCCGGTTGGTGGAGCGGATAACCATTTTATTGGAGAATGAAATCTGCTGGGTTATTCAAAACATTTCTCCGCTCAGCTCCGTTCCGCGTTGGTGGAAATCGGGACTTATGTATGTACCTAGGTAGATACTCTTTTCTTTTCTTTTTCTTTTCTTTTTCTTTATTCAGAAAACCACTCGATAGCTACTGTTTTAAGAGAAAAGAAGTGAGTGGGTAGGACGACAACTTTTATGAAGTTCAAAATGTTTTAAAACTTACAAACATTGTAAAAGTTCTGAGTTGAGACAACCAACTTTTGCGGGTTTTACTCTTAGCGACATCTATCGCTATTTTTTAGTATTACTTTACGCCATCTGGCGCAAAATATTGAAACAACTTGTAGGATGATTCTGTACATGTCGCTACACTAGCGCCATTATCTTCTTTCAGTTCCGCATTCGCTGGCGCATTATGCGACCAAATTACGATGCTCCTAGACACGTAGAAACCTACTTTATATTGTTTGTCACTAAATTTTGTTGGGTTACATGTATTATTTTTGCATTGACTGACATTCTGCCTAACTAAAAAAAGTCCGACCCTGTTTTTATTTGAAATGTGACCTAAATGACCTAATTATGGCAAATTAAAATATTTTCTTTACAAGGCTACAACATAAGCAATATACAGTGCAATGTATTTTTAAAAAATGTGTTCAAAACAAGTGATCCTTGAAGCATTATAATTTAATAACGATAATTTTATTTATTTATTAAGTGAAAATCAATTATTTATAAATAAAAAAACTCCTTCTGGATCTCTTAGTACAATTTCGTGATTTGTTAAATGGTATTTTACAGCCTGTTAAAAATAATTTGTAAAAAAATATATTCTTGTTATCTAATGATTTGAGATATTTACCTAAAGTTTTTATTAATTTTGTCAATTCAAATCTATAAAATGTCGTTCGTAAAATGTTGCTTTGAATCGGGCGAGGGACATGATTTTCTGGACTCCTTTGTTCAGAAGTGCACAGATCCTGGATGTGAGTATTTTTCTTTTGTTTTTATTAAGTAAATCAATCTACGATTTATTTTTCATTAAACATGAGCCTTATTGTCTCGGCAATAAGCAATAGATAAAATTGGCGTGTTTTAATCACCTAGGAGCAATTTGTTTGGGTCATGATAATAGCATTTTTATCTGATCACAAAAACTAACGCACCTAATTTTGTGGTATTGATTTTTATCTCAAATCTACCGCCCGGAAATGGAACTTCCGCAGTTTGTTCCACAGATTAAACAGAGTACCTACTATAAAGAGCGTTTTAATTCATCATTCAACTGACAAAAAAAGATGACTAATTTTGTCATTTAGTAAATTACCTTATTAAGTTATTAGCTTAATTAGCTTACCTTGTACGGAATTTAAGTCGTTAAATGGAGCTAGAGGTATCTTTTGAAAACAATTTTAAGTCCGATTCGGTTTAATGCATGTTTAATGTGGATAAAACTAAACGAAACGCAACTTCAGAAATTGATTAGTTGACTCATACAATGATTTGGTTTCTGTTTTAATTTTGTGGCTGTTAGTTCTTTATTTTAACATCTGGATATTAGAATACATAGAACATAATGGCTCAAGGTACGTAAAAGTATTGAATAACTATTTTATCGCTGAAAATTTACTAAAAACTTGTTTACAAGTTTTGAGTTTGACGTCTGTGTACATATGTGGCGCCATCTTGCCAAAACGAGCTGTCAGATTCGTCATTTTTCGTGTTTCACTCGTAAAAAATGTGGTATTATTCAGTAATGTGCTATTAAAATGACTGTAAGACCTCTAAAAATTGACTTATAAGTTCGAATTTGTGTGTCTTCAAAGAAAGTCGGTGAAAAACGTGTTATACAAAGTTGCACTGTGTGAAAGCATCATGACAGCGACTGCAGCACCGAGTACGGCGAAAAGTAGCACGACGACGGTTGCAAAACCGCAGAAAAACTATGGAAAGATCGTGCTTACGTTATACAACTGTCTGCTGCCGGAATCGGCCTTCAAGGAGACGCCATCACAAGCAGATGGCCTCGACATAGAAACCGAGACTGACCTTCGTATCCTGGGATGTGAAATGATTCAGACCGCCGGGATCTTGCTGAGACTGCCCCAAGTTGCCATGGCAACAGGCCAGATATATCTCCAAAGGTTTTATTACTCGAAATCCTTTGTCAGATACCCCATGGAAACTATGGCTATGGGAAGTATCTACTTAGCATCTAAAGTCGAAGAAAAGCCATGTAGGATTAGAGATGTGATCAATGTATTCCATCATATCAAGCAAGTGAGAGCCCAGAAGACAATTAGCCCGTTGATTGTGGACCATAACTACATCGAGCTAAAAAACCAAGTGATAAAAGCGGAGAGGCGTATTTTGAAGGAATTAGGATTCTGCGTTCACGTCAAACACCCGCACAAGCTTATTGTAGTCTACTTACAATTACTACAGTATGAAAAGAACCGTCAACTCATGCAAATGGCTTGGAATTACATGAACGATGCTCTCCGCACTGATGTGTTTATGAGGTTCCCTCCAGAGACGATAGCTTGTGCTTGCATTTACTTAACGGCACGGAAGATTGGCCTGCCGCTGCCCAACAACCCCCATTGGTTCTTGTTATTCAGAGTAACAGAAGAAGAAATCAGGGAAGTGTGTATAAGAATTTTGCAGCTGTACAAACGTGCTAAAGTTAACCCAGACGAGTTGGAGCATAAAGTGGACAATTTACGTAAAATTTATCAAGCGAACAAGCATATACAAAGTCAGAAAGATCAGGAAATTGCTAAAGCAAATGAAAAGAAAGCTGAATCACCAGCAGCATCGACTTCAAAAGACACAAGACGTGAATCTAAAAAGGATAAGTCACCAAAGACACCGCCACTGTCTTCGAAATACCATACTAGTCATAAGTCAAAGAAAGATAGACGATCCCGTTCACCATACGAGAGGAAGCGTGACTACTCGAGTAAACGGCACAAGTCAAGATCAAGGGAACGGGAGATAGAGCGGCCTAGGGATCGACGATCTGATGATAAACGCAGTCGAGTGACGTCTAGGAAATATGATGACTATGACCGTGCTAAGTCAAGTAGGGACAGTAGAGACGATAAGAGAAAGCACTAGTTCTGTATTTTATAAATTAACAATACTCTTGATTAATAAACATACTTTAAAATATTTTCTTGTTTTATTTCGAATCCAATTAGAATATGACATACAACATAGGAGATTATCTAAAAAAACTCATTTGTAGTATCACTTGTATAATATTTCTTAACTCTTTCATGCTCATGTCATGTAAAATAAATTCTTTATGTATTTTTTATAGAATTTAATTGTCCACACACAGTATAATATTATCGTTAAAACCTTGTTATTGCGCTGAGTAGTATGTGACGTCAGGAGTGCGTTTTAGGCAGGCTTTAGGACTAATCATAAAGTCTGAAAACAAGTGAGTACATTACCAGATTTGTAACTTCAGTTGAACTTTGACCGTGGCAAACTAAATCTCAATATATTTGTTTCTAAATCATTATTTATTAAGGTAGAAATCGCTTGTGGTCTGTATTCACATGCATTTTTTGCGATTTGGCGCAGTCGTCGAAAGTTACTACACTAGCTAGAGGATCGCCGAGTTCGATTCCCGCTCCAAAATAGCTGTTCATATTGTTTACGTTTTGTTATGTAGGTAGGTACTATTAACAGAAAAAGAGAAGTCATTCTATTTAAATGTGATTACATCATTGGCCTACAACAATAAGTAAGTAATTATGTAGATTTCTAAGCTAGCTTTGGACTAGATGTCATACACCAAATGTGAAATGCTTACGGATATTAATTACTAATTATATCCAAGAACATCCTCGCTCTTTATTCCAGGCCGTTTATGTCTTTCTACAAATATTAGACAACATAAAAACCGGCCAAGTGCGAGTCGGACTCGCGCACCGAGGGTTCCATACAAACCTGTAGGTATTAAAGTAAATTCGCAATATTTCCTTTCTGTGCTATTAGACGTTGCTTCGTCCCAAATTTCAAGATTCTGAGTTCGATTCCTTGCGAGTGTCGAAAATTTGCGGCATAAACGGCTGTACTACTTTTGATTGTGTTGCCCTTGGCTTAGAAGTTTGATTTTTACACAGCTCTAAGGGACAGTAGACCTGAGTATTTGATATGAATATCAGCTTGATACCTCCACGCGTTCCTGAGAAAAAGGGTTTTGACTCGACAGACGGAAAACAGTGAACGTATAAGGGTTCCGCTTTTTCCTTCTACGAAACCCTAAAAAACCATGGCGTACGTATCTTACCACGTGACGCGCTCACCCTACAAAAGAGCGTAGGCAAATGTCGCCGACAGGCCTACAGTTTCCCTTCCATTGATCATGTCTATTTCAGACGATGTATTTATAGCCAGTTGGGATTTTGTCGCGACACCTTTCAGACGCCGCGAAGGGAACTTCGAAGTAATAGTTAATAGTGATGTCTGTGACCTGACCTGTGGGTCTAGACAAAGTGCACATTAAAATCGCAAACCAGTCGAAAAGTGGTCGAAAGGCCCTTTTTTGTATCGAGTTATGACGGATTCGATTTTCGATTCCATCAAAAAGTTTAACTTGTTTAGGGGGCTGACAATGTTAGGGGTGGTTATTGGTTATACCGGGTGTCTGTGTCTAGTCACAATGGATACAGGCTAAATAAATAGATAATTAATTTAGTTGCTGAAAAAGTTGTGGATAGCAGTCCTGAAAATTAAATAGGTAGTCCTAAAAAAAGTAGCACACGGTTCTGGGATATAAAAATGAAAGTGAATAAGTATTTACTTGAAATAGATATTTCTGAAAATTCTTTCATAAAATATTTCAGTATATCAGAGCCTTCTCTGTTATGCCCACGCCGCTTGGTGATTCATATTTTGTTTTGATGTTAATTTTAGCTTTTTCTTAAGACTTCTATCATATTCTTACTATTAAAGAAAGTAACGCTATTTTTGTCCATAGACACCTAACGAAATTTAATATTTTTAAAATGTTTACTTTATTAGGTATGATTTAAGAAAATAATATCCAAATAAATACTAGCTATTTACATTTTGTGTTACTTGTCACGTAATGTACCTAACTGTAACACATGACTGAAACTCGTCAATCTAATTTAAACTCTATCACTTTGTCATTAAGTTTAATTTGAAATAGAGCAGTGCGGAAAGATATTTGGAAGTGTAGGGTCACCATGCGTTTGTGAGACTTCTCTCAAAACTTTTTTTTGTCAATTTTTAGTATTGATTGTTTTTAGTTCTTTTATGGACGTTAAAATAACGTTTTGCTAAACATATTCTCTGAAAATATGTAGTTTGAACTTCAGAGGTCGAGTTGTCTTACGTTTTGCATAATTATGACAAGCAATGCAGGTTTCTCAGTTCAAAGTCGCTATAAAATTACAATTCCTAATAACAATGGCGCAAAAACTGCAGTCATGCTTCATTTGTTCGGTTTATAGGAGAAAAACGTGGTCTGTTTAGAAAAGCGTATTTATAGGTTACTTTGACACGTTGACTTGTGACTTTGTGAGAGATCAGCTTACTTACTATTCTTATTGATTTGTGATCGATCTTCTTGTGTAGACATTATTATAAAAACTACGTAATAGCGGACTGACTATAAGTAGAAATTAGCATTTTCTGTACAATATTTAATTCCCTGAGCAAAAGTAAAGTAGGTAATAGTGGTTAGAGTAGCAAAGGGGATCCGTTTTCCGAATTTACGAAGGCATTTTGTATGGATTTAGGACTTGTTAATATTTTTATTGTTTGCCTCCACCTAGTGAAGCAATAGAAATGTAATGTAACACATATTAATTTTGGCCTTGAACATTGTGACAAGTGATAGATCACCAAAATCTGGGTTATTTCATTAAATATTTCCTCTAAGAATATAGGAAAACATAATAATGAGATAACCTACAGTGTTATGATGTGGGTTATCTTTACAATATTCCTTATCAGTGCTGAGTAGCTCCTCCAACATACTAGTCGTCGGCATGACATGTGTTACTCATAAAATCAGACGATAAATCATTTTAATAGTTTACATAGTGAGTATAGTGACCAAAGTACGCGATTTCAAAAGTGGTTGGATTTCAGTTGGACACGTTTTGAAAAATAGTGCAGTGTCAATGAAGTGAAAGTTATGTGTGTATGTAAAATGTATTTTAAAACAGTTATTAAAAAGATTATAATCAGAATATCTTAAGTCGGTGATAGTGTGCATTTTAATTCATGTTGAAATCAAGACTATTTAGCAAATGTTTTGGGGAGTGAGAGTGCATAACTAATTTTAAAACTTTTTTTTATACAAATCACAACTATGATCCCACTGAATAAAATCGCCCATAGAGCCTGCTTCTTCGTCAGTCGGACAGTGTATATGACATGTAAGTAAAAACGCGCGAAAAAACGAAAAATACTATTAGGTCATTTATTTTAATCCTTGATGGATCCGCTGGATGGATTTTAGTAAAATTTTGGATAAGTACGTTATGTAAATTACATACAAATATCCATATTTATTTGGTTTAGTTATGCTTAGATGATGTCATTTATTACAATTATAGCCTGACCAGGAACATAAAAACCCTCGCCATGTTGCGGAAAACTAATGGTACTAATTTCTTTTAATGGCAACAGTATAGTTCCAAAATACTGAACTGTCCTATGCATGACATTGACAGTGGGGCGCCACCGTCAATGCCGGATCGCTGGTTCAGATTTTTGCCATGTTGGAAACCGTATAGTTGAACGATGGTGGCGCCCCCCCTGTCATTGAGTTTGGTGGGACAGTTCAGCGTGGGTCATCTATAACTGAAAACTTCATTGACATGTCACCTTGCATGTCAGTCTATTGCTGTCAAAGTGTAAACAAACTTTATTTTAAATGTGCGCAATTGATTTTGTGAATTAAATTGCTAAAATCTTTTTATAGTCGTGAAAGAAAAGTGGTTCACAATGTGTTAAAGTATTTGTCGAAGAGAAATACTAAGGGTTCGGACAATATTTTCATTGAATAATGTTTCCGACAAAGGTTGTCAAATTGACTGTCATGTTTATCGTATAGTACAGACTACAGTCCACTATGAAAATTAGCTGTGGTTTGTTTCAACTACCTATTTTAAAATTTTGTGTCACTTTCTAAGTGTTGAATTTTATGGAATTGGGAAAGAAGTACCGAGGTTGAAGCGTTCACGACCAAACATATATTGCAGTTGAATATTCAAGTTCTGAATTTGATTATTGATGAATAATAAAATAAATCCTACTAGCTCGATTGATGGTTTCATTTAATTTATTTAAACCAGGTTACCTATAATAATATTTTTTGGTTAATTTATGAAAATATCAAATTAGCCCGTAATCCTGAATCCTGATACATAAAGTTAGCCTATTAATTTAACACAGGTACGACTGTGGACAAACGACTGTACTCAGTGTTGCACTATCAAATGCGATTGACGCGCCTCTATGCCAGGGTTTTTATGTTCCTGGTCAGGCTATAGAAAATATATTTCCTTATTGGAATAATTTATTTATTAATAGCCTATTTTCAATCCTTATTTCATTATAGATATTTATGATTCATTTACACATGGTTCTTGCAAAATAATAAGTAAATAGCTTTGTGACACTGTTAATGTCAATGCAATGGTCAAGGACGATTCTAAGAAGGATATCGGTCGTTAAGTATGATTAGTCTCTTGTTTCTCGATTAATTAGTGCTAGCTATTATCCATCTTTGTAGCTGCAATACTTCATGATGTCGTAAGACTTTTTTACATGAACCTATTCTATAAAAAATATTTTTGAGTAATTTTTAGTTACGACCATACCATGATCATTGCAAACGTTGTGATAGGGATAGAGACATGCGATTTTTGGTTTTACGAAGGTAAAACGATAGAGAATAATACAAAGTAATAAAAACCACCGGTTATAGGGGCATTTTTTGGAGAAATTTATCAAATTACCAAAAAAAAAAACACGAATTTAAAAGCAAATTTTTTTCAAAAAGTATAATTTTTTATTATTTGTTTTTTGTGTATTTTATGTATTTTTTTAGTATCGCCTATTATTTAGCATTATTACTGTTTTTATTTTATCAGGATATACCGCTTAGTTTAAAAGTTATTACGTTTTCTTTACAATAAGTAATTGGAAGAAAAAAAATTCTATAAAATTTTTAAAAAAATCTCAAAAAATTTTTGACCTCTTTTTTGTCGATAAAAATAAGTCTAGTTTCATCTATTTTCATATGTACACTTTAACGTGACTCACACTGTATATTGGTTATGGCTATTGGAGCGGGTACCACTTTCCATACATTTGTGCCCATCATCCTTTCTGACTTCACCATACCATTTATATGCATATGTTAACATGGGCTAGTGTCGGCTCATATACCCATTTACCTAACACCCTGTATATTTTTTTTTGAGTAATTTTGAGTTACGACTATATCTCAGGAACTACTAGTCCGATTTGAAGAAATATTTTTGTGTTGGATAGCCCACTTATCGAGGAAAGCTTTAGGTTAATAACTTCACCCTACAGCCTCAAGGGCGGAGCAGTAAAGAAAAATGTTTTGTTTTTCACGCGTATGAAGTCGCGGGCACAGTTAGTTTGATTAATATTTACGATATTTCCCATAATTTATAATGAAGGAAGTTGGTGAAACTTTACATGCGTTAACCTCGATAATTTTCGGGACGTAACTGCAATCACACTGCGCGGCCCATGTTTTTACCTTCATACAAGTGTTTCAACATGATAGCCAATAAAGATCATCAACATTCCATGGGCGATTTTTTTATTTGTCACGCACCTATAAATCAATAGTTATCGTACCTATTGTTTAAGTATGTATCCTAGTAGAATATTATACAATTAGGAGATTCGCTAAAGTCCCATTAATTATGAGTAAGTTCACCAGAATAGTCCAGTTGTTTTCGGATCTCGAATCGGCCAGTCCGACAGATACTCACACCATTGGACCATTGTCGCCATCAATATCCTGTGGAACCCTAAGCGGTGACGGCTTATTCCACTATTCCCCGTTAACGCCAATTGGGAGATTATAAGTGGGAATAATGAACTAAAAAGTTAATTAATCCCCGTTATATTAGGATTTTATTTTTAACGTAATGGGGATTAATGAACTTTTTAGTTCAATATTCCCCATTTTAAGCTCCAATTGGTGTTAACGGGGGAATAGTGTAATAAGCCGCGGTGACATGAGACCGCGATAAAAATTGATTTCTATTGTTTCGATTCGCTACTGGTGATACTGATATCTATACTGATATACTGGTGATCTTCTTCTGCTTCTCTCCAGGCTGCTGCGGCTGTTGCTCAGCGCTGCGGCCTCGCTACAAGCGGCTGGTGGACAACATATTCCCTGCATCCCCTCAGGATGGGCTCGTCAAGTCCAACATGGAGAAGCTTACCTTCTACTCCCTGTCCAGCCCGGAGAAACTGGACAGGATCGGGGAATACCTGTTCCAGAAAGCTTCCAGGGATATCTATAGGAGGAGACATGGGTAAGTTGATGGAGTCAAACACTTGATTGGGATTTGTGGAAGAAAAGTTTAATAGAGCTTTGTGATTGGTTCGCGTGTGACCCTGTGCGTCCACGTGCACTGTGAGACCTCATAGTAGCGTTTGTGAATACGGGCGAAAGAGTCGTATCCAACGTGTCATAGACAAAGTATCCAAGTTAATAGTCGTTCCAAAATGGCTTCACTGGATTAGGTACGTGAGGTGATTTCACACTAATGTAACTACTGTTTAGCCCCTTGGATGGCTTTGACGAACCCATTAGTTAGGATCAATAACTGAAGCATTTGTTGATTTAATAACAGTCCAGTCATTTCAGCTCATACCTCTCAACACGCTTGTCAGATTGATAAGTTTATCTCGAGTGCAGTTATATCATTGCTTCCGTCAAAGCAAAGTGTTGTAAGGCACACTTAATTGATTGCCTATAGCGACGCTATCGCTGGAAGTTATTGTTTCTTGATATATTTTAATGCCTTTCACGCATTTATGTAGGCGTTACATTCATTAATACTAACAAGAATAGTAAATTAATATAGATGAATGAGTAAATTAATTTAAAGCCATTTTCGCTTACCAAGGTACCAACACTAATTCTTATTAATGGCATGGGATGATGGGACAGACTTACGACGAAAGATGAAAAAAGCAGTACGCAGCGTTCTTTGGATGCTTACTTCTATACTAGACTTCTATACGCCGAATTTAATAGACACATCCTACTAATATTATAAATGCGAAAGTTTGGATGTCTGGATGTTTGTTACTCTTTCACGCAAAAACTTTACAGTATTATTGTTTATAACCCAGAATAACATATAGATAGGCTATAATTTATGATGATCTGTGACAAACTAAATTTCACGCGGGTGAAGTCGCGGGCATAAGCTAGTCAAAATTAACGCCATACTTAAATATGCATGTGTCGGACATGAATAACATTTATGATAAAAGTCATAGATGTTATAGCTTATGTTTGGTCTTTGAATGTCATAATGCGGAGATCTTGCCTAAAAATCTGTATGCTCAAACTGCCCTCCCCCCTTTCTCAGAAACTATGACGAGACAGAATTTAAATCAAACCTTTCCTATTTTTTTTCACCAGTTTCGTAATAATCGCCATGGAGGCCATGGACCAGCTCCTACTCGCGTGCCACTCGCAAACCCTCAACTTATTCGTGGAGAGCTTCCTCAAGATGGTGCAGAAACTGCTGGAGTCCACCGACCCTCAGCTGCAGATCTTGGCTACGCAAAGCGTGAGTATTAGCATAGCTTTTATGTCCCTTCTTTTTGTGTATTTCTATTATAGTACCTTTATGTTCAGTTTGTTGAACAAAGGGATTTTTGTTGTATACTATTCTAATAAAAATAGACAGATCTAGAAGTAGTAGAATATCTAGTAGTAAAAAGTAAACTTTAAGTAATGTTATGAATAAATAACATAAAAAGGGTCTTTGAAATAATTTATTAAACTTTGGAGACTGTCCCCATTAAATATTTATAGTTGGACAACCTTTTCGATGAAGAGAATTCGCTAACAGAGCTTTTTTAAAAATTCACTTTGACCGGTAAGAATATTATAAATATTAGAGCGATAGGGAAGCTAGACGAACTTACTAGGCTTGCCTTTACATAATATGCGACTAATCCAATTATGTATTTTTGATCCAATTTTCGTGGATACATGAGTATTTACCACGTGACTGTGAAAATCTAGTGTTTCTAAGTTAGACACAGCACTCTTTTATTTATACTTAAGTGATAGATATTTTTGTGTTTTGTCTGCGATCAAGTTGCTAGGCCTGGCTTAGTTTGGAGACCAGCGATAATTAGAACCGGTATTATTAAGTCTTACTGCCGAGAAATAAGACACGATAATATCGTTAGAGGCTCATTGGCGAGCTTTGCGGTGTCCAACGTCTTTACATTCATTAGGAAACTACATGAATTTATTTCTTATTAATTGATAAATAAAGTAGCATTTTTGTTTGCATAATATCTCGCGTTACGATAATTTACTCAAATAATAATCCCCGCAGTTTATTGCAGTCAACATAGAAGAAAATTGTGTCGAATCAGTACATAGTTTTACTTCTGTACTGTACCCTATTTGTCCCGCCCACAGGACCGTGCGGGGCCGTGGGCGGGGCACATAGCTCGTAGAGCTGATGGCCGCTGGGGCAGGAAAGTTCTTGAGTGGCGACCACAAGCCGGAAGACGTAGCGTGGGCAGGCCTCCCACTAGGTGGACCGACGATCTGGTGGAGGTCGTGGGAGGTGCCTGGATCCGAGCGGCGCAGGACTGGTCTTTGTGGAAATCCTTGGGGGAGGCCTTTGTCCAGCAGTGGACGTCTTTCAGCTGAAACGAACGAACCCTATTTTGTGCGCAATAAAGCTTAAAATAAGTGTAATTTCCGCAGTTTGTCCGCTTCGCGAACATAGAAGAGGACACCCCCTCATACCACAGGCGGTACGACTTCTTCGTATCGAAGTTCTCGGCGATGTGCCACAGCAACCACAGCGATGCGGCCACCAGAGACAAGATACGGCTTGCCGGGATACAGGGGTTGCAGGTACGGAAACAACTGTTCAGTAATTCAAAGGTGAACCTGAATAGTCAAGAGAAAGAAAAAAGTAAAAACGTTTACTATTCGGTCTCCAAATAATAAATGAAATAGCCAGTTCCTCCGGATTTCTCCTCTTTGGAGGAAGATTTCGGGTGAAGCTCGAAGAATCTTGTTGAGGCCTAGTCATCACTTTCCATTACATACACACCCTCAATTTTAACCGTAGTATAATAAAGTCGATAAGAGACAGACTACAATCGGATGTGCTTCGTATGCAACTAGTAATAATATTATTTTTACTGTGTGACAAAAGACAACTATTTGATTTCAAAAATTTCGCTATACCAGGGGTTCCCTAACTTATTTGAGACACGTCTCCTTTTGACCATAAAAAACTTTCGTGCCCCTCATCCAGAGTATTTATTGGTCGTATCGAGCAGTCCGGAATGCATTCTCTCAGCGGTTGCAGGTTTTTTACATTTAACTACACAGATGGCCCGAACCCCCCTATGAAGGTCTTTGCCCCTCCTCTCATTTAGGAAATCCGTGCGCTATACCATTCAGTTGGTGTAATTTTTGCCACTTTTTCACATTCTAGGGTGTCATCAGAAAGACAGTGTCGGATGACCTGGTAGAGAACATTTGGGAAGCGCAGCACATGGACAAGATTGTGCCCTCGCTACTTTACAATATGCAGGTAAGAGCAGCTATCAAACGATTGCAGTTTCAGAAGGCATTAAATTATAATATTTACGATTCAATTTTCAAGAAATTTCCTAGTCACTTGATGTGTAGTGAGATTATTTTTTTAGGAACAGTCCTGCTTTTTACCAGTAATATGGTCACCCTACTTTTTTTTTAAATACCAGTGAATTTTTGGCAGATATATTCCGTTGATAAGTTTTGCCCGAAAAATGATGTTGTGTCTTAATTATAGCTCGCCCTTCGCTTGCCTTTCAGACTGCGGAGAAATACGAGACAGTGTCTTGTATGGAAACGGACACGCGTGACGGAGCGGAGGAGACGCCCCCACGGCTAGCGGAGGCCTGTCTGAGGGAACTAGTGGGCCGCGCGTCCTTCGGGCACATCCGCAGCGTGCTCCGGCCTGTGCTCACGTGAGTCTTCGCAAGACGGAGAATCCGGCTAGCGGAGACGCCCTCGTGGCTAGCGGAGACGCTCTTGGGACTATCGTAGACGCACCTGCGGCTAGCGGAGAAGCCCCTGCGGCTAGCGGAGACGCCCTTGTGGCTAGCGGAGAAGCCCCCGCGGCTAGCGGAGACGCCCCCGTGGCTAGCGGAGATGCCCCTGCGGCTAGCGGAGACGCCCCCATGGCTAGCGGATACGCCCCCAGGGCTAGCGGAGACGACCCGCGGCTAGCGGAGACGCCCCGCGGCTAGGGGAGCGCGCCTCAGAGGACACGCGACAGAGTGGAGGAGACGCCCCCGTAGCTAGCGGAGACGCCCTTATTGCTAGCGGAGAACCCCCCGTGGCTAGCGGAGACGCCCTTGTGGCTAGTGGAGATGCCCCCAGGGCTAGCGGAGACGCCCCTAAAGCTAGCGGAGACGCCTACGTGGCTAGCGGAGAAGTTCATAATGGAGCTTTTGCTCTGCGAAGAGTCCTCTATTATCTGAAACATCATCTATTTTAGTTTTTTTTGGGTGTAGGTTTCCTAGATGTTTGAAATAATTTAAATTATTTTGTTGCAGACATTTCGACCGCCACGAGCTGTGGGTGCCAAATGATTTCGCCGTGCACACTTTCAAGATTATTATGTTCTCGATCCAGGTATGAAAATATGAGTTAACATACCCAAAGAAACTTTAAACCCTTATTAGGTTCAAATTCAATGTTCTCGGAAGCAAGCGCCGGGTGCGTGCGAAGATCACAATAATCATGATTTTCCCAATGGATTTTGAATTTTTTACCCTTAAAATAAGGCTTAAAATAGAAAGAAAGAAAGAAACATTTATTGCCATGGACATCACAAAAGACAAAAGATGTAAGTAAAAAAACAGAGGTGACATAAAACATACAATGGAAGAGAAAGTAAACTGAGCAGTGCCACCCTGTCGCACAGCGATGTCCATCGCAATGGGACCCCACTCAGCATATGCCGTGGCCCCCGGAGAGTGAAAATATACACTCGCGAGCAAAAATATGGAATCACCCTATTTATTCCGAGCGATCATAAGAACTAAATGACTAATATAAGATCAATAAAAATGGTACCATTTTAAAGGAGATATAATAAACTTAAAATTGATAGCATAGATACATACAATACGTAGTCATTCAGTTCTTAAGACCGCTCGAACATAAAGGGGTGATTCCATATTTTTGCTCGTAAGTATACAAAATCATTTTTCTTATGGCACATCTACCTACATCACCATGTAACCTACAACCAAATTAAAATTTTATTGTTCTTAATAGATTTTGAACTTTATGCCCTTACAATAAGGTTCAATCTTCTTTTTCAGGCGCAGTATTCCTACAGCGTAGTGGAGTCTCTTATGCAGCATCTAGATGCAAGCGGGCCGAGCGCGAGCGACGCTCGTGCTAGGACGCGCGTGCGTGCCGCGCGAGCCGCCGTGCTTAGTAATATAGTGGCTATTGCTGCTGGAGATAGTGTGGGTAAGTGTGCATTATGTATTTTGTATCCGGGTTGAACCGGAATTGTATCCGGGTCAAGCCGGATAAAAAATCCATGCCGAGCGCGAGCGACTCTCGTGCTAGGACGCGCGTGCGTGCCGCGCGAGCCGCCGTGCTTAGTAATATTGTCGCTATTGCTGCTGGTGACAGTGTGGGTAAGTGTACCCGGATTTTTTATTTTGTATCCGGGTCAAACCGGATTTTTTATCCGGGTCAATCCGGATTTTTTGTCCGGGTCAAACTGGTTTTTGTATCCGGGTCAATCTGGTTTTTGTTTCCGGGTCAAACCGGATTTTATATCCGGATCAAACCGGATTTTTTACCCGGGTTAAGCCGGATTTTATATCCGGGTTAAGCCAGATTATGTATCTGGGTCAAACCGGATTTTATTATCCGGGTTCAAGCCGGAATTTTATCCGGATCTAAGGACCCTTCTTACCACAGCAAGGATCCAGTAATGCAGGACCCTGCAAAACTGAACTGTTATGTGAACACACAAAAGTGTCTGTAAAATGTGAACGGTTCGATTTATTGCGGGACACTGCAAACAGCATGTTCGTACCACTTAACATCAGGTGCGATTGTGGTCAAATGCATAAACAAAATACTACTATACGGGATTCTGCAAAAAACAGTACTAGCAAAAACAGGATGTCTCTGTGAGAAAGAGCCCTTACAACGTGGCGGAGTCTCTCATGCAACACTTAGACGCTAGCGGGCCGAGCGCGAGCGATGCTCGTGCTAGGACACTCGTGCGCGCCGCGCGAGCCGCCGTACTTAGCAATATAGTCGCTATAGCCGCTGGTGACAGTGTGGGTAAGTGTAAAGTCCGGTCGCCGAGCACGTAGAATTTCGTCCAATGACCCCAAGCTACCCATCCTTATCGCTCGCGCGTAATTATATTGCTGTCGCGACTGTGCGACGGGCGGCCACAGCGAGTGCGAGCTGTGGTCAAACCGGGTTTTTTATCTGGGTCAAACCGAATTTTATATCCGGGTCAAGCCGGGTTTTTTTTCCGGGTCAAACTGGTTTCTGTATCCGGGTCAATGTGGTTTTTGATTCCGGGTCAAGCCGGATTTTTTATCCGGATCAAACCGGATTTTAATCCGGGTTAAGCCGGATTTTATATCCGGGTTAAGCCAGATTTTGTATCTGGATCAAACCGGATTTTATTATCCGGGTTCAAGCCGGATTTTTATCCGGATCTAAGGACCCTTCTTACCACAACAAGGCTCCTGTAATGCAGGACCCTGCAAAACTGATCTGTTATGTGAACACACAAAAGAACACTGCAAACAGCATGTTCGTACCACTTAACATCAGGTGCGATTGTGGTAAACAAAGTACTACTATAACGGGATTCTGCAAAAAACGGTACTAGCAAAAACAGGATGTCTCCGTGAGAAAGAACCCTTACAGCGTGGTAGAATCTCTCATGCAACACTTAGACGCGAGCGGGCCGAGCGCGAGCGACGCTCGTGCTAGGACACGCGTGCGCGCCGCGCGAGCCGCCGTACTTAGCAATATAGTCGCTATCGCCGCTGGTGACAGTGTGGGTAAGTGTAAAGTCCGGTCGCCGAGCACGTAGAATTTCGTCCAATGACCCCAAGCTACCCATCCTTATCGCTCGCGCGTAATTATATTGCTGTCGCGACTGTGCGACAGGCGTCCACAGCGAGTGCGAGTAAGCCGGCCTTTGTATACGGGTCAAACCAAATTTTTTTTCCGGGTCAAGCCGGATTTTTTATCCGGGTTCAAGCCAGATTTTATATCCGGGTCAAACCGGTTTTTGTATTCGGATCAAGCCGGAGTTTATATCCGGGTCAAGCCAGATTTTATATCAGGGTGAAGCCAGATTTTATATCCGGGTCAAGCCGCATTTTTTATCCGGGCTCAAGCCGGATTTTTATCCGGATCTAAGGGCCCTTACCACAGTATAGATCCAGTAATGCCATAAAGTTAATATTCCTTCGGAATAGAGCAACAATCACGAGCTGTCAAACGAAACCAAAAATGAGATGTCATATGTGTGTGTAAAAATAAATATGTGTGCATGTCAGTGATGTATGTATGTCGTTACTTTTCACATGAATATCGATATCGATTAAATCTTAATTAACACCTAACAGTAATAATATAAATAGAATAGGATGGAATGGGATTGTAGGTATATGGGAATTGGAAGAGTGGCCAAAGAAAATAAAAAAAAAACTCAGAAGATTAAAATTATTCAACTTATTTATTTGGAAGAATGAGAGTTACAAACATCAAGACATCCATACAAACTTTCGCATTTATAATATTAGTAGGAGTAAAACAATAATTAAAAAATGATAATTCTGACGATAACGTAAGAAAATAGGATTCTAACGATGTAATAATCGTTGTTGGCCGTATAGTGTAGTGGTTTGAAACGGACTACTATTCCGGAGGTAGCGGGTTCGATTCCCGCACAGTACAAACATCTGTGTGCATAAACATATTTATTATTATATTTAGTATGTATCTTTGCTTACAACTTAAATTAATGTTTAAAGAACATAATTATCACACTTAGTGCTTAAAATTCTAAGCGCATTCACAAAAATAAAGCTAAAGTTTGGAGGTGTCGATTTCAATAAATTTACCTGTGAAATGAATATTTTGCAGGATTATTCCTTTGTTGTACATCACAATCAAGGACGGAACAGGTCACCATTATATAAGAAAACAAATTTTCCAAAAATAAACAGGATTTTACGATATTTTTATAAAAAACTATAATTTAAAATTTTCTTTGTGCCTCTATGTGTCACTGCCTGTCAAATCTTTTGCAAAAATGGTTCTATTGACGTGACGATGATAGCATCACACATCTCTTTTTATCACACAGGGTTGCAGATAGTGACATCTCGCTCGCTCATTCTTTGTTGCTCTATTCCGAAGGAATATTAACTTTATGAGTAATGCAGAATCCAGATTGGACCAGACATCCAAAACTGGACTGTCGTGTGAACACGAATCGATTTTTAGCGTACTTATAATTTTGCACCTTCCTGCATGTCACATTTGAATGGTTTTATTTTTTCATCCGGGTGATTATTTACCCGGAATCTGTAATCCGGATGATTCAAACCTGGAGATGTTTCAACATTCTATATCTGTGTTTTTCAACCTTTTTCATGACGCGATCCCCCTAGCATAAAAAAAATTTTTGCGACTTCCCGACGACCGTTCGCTTTTTTTCATGCCTTTTACGAAGATGTTGTAGGGACCGAATTCGTCAATCTAAACAACATTTATGCATTTGCTTAATTAGATTTCGGATAAATCTAGCTTTAAAAATTTACTGTTTTTTACTGAGGTAGTTTTTACGACCTCTCACGACCCCCCTATACAGGGTGGAATTTTGTAATGCCACCTGGAGGGAAACTACTCTTAATACTGTAGATAGATTTTTTTTCTGAAAGAATACTTTCCTTTATTTTTGAACAGAAAGAGAACTGCATTCAAAGATTTTCGAAAATTTAAAAAAAATCTCTAACATACCATACAATTTCCTATACATAATAAAAATAATTTAAGATTTCATGGTTTTCCCTTCATTTCGCCTTTCATGTCGCGACCCCCCAGGGGGTCGCGACCCACAGGTTGAAAAACACTGTTCTATATCATCGGAATCATTGTTATCTTATTTGATTTATATTCTTACTAGCGGCCGCCCGCGACTTCGTACGCGTGAATTCCTTTTTTCCCGCTAATTCCCGTTCCCGTAGGAATTTCGGGAATTCCTTTCTTAGTGCACCTCTACGGTACCTAAGCTACGTCCCTTCCAAATTTCAAGTGCCTACGTTTAGCCGTTTAGGCTGTGCGTTGATCTGTCAGTCAGTCAGTCAGTTTCTCCTTTTATATATTTAGATTAAAATATTATGTTTATTTCCAGGCCCATCAGTGTTGGAGATCATTAACAACTTGCTGACTAATCTACGAGCTTCAGTTGCTAGAGATTCTGAGGTAACTTTTTATACTAGAGACATAGATAATTTATTTTTTATATATTTTTGTATTTTTGCTGTCACTTGTGTAGGCATTTCTAGGACAAGTATAAATTAATGTACTACTTTTTCTGCAAAAATAAAATCCAATAATAACTTAACAACGATTATTTTGTTGCTCTAAAACTGTTATTTGTCCAGGTATTTTAAGGATAAAATCTGTACAAATTATTTAAACTCAAAAAACTCCTGAAATAAACTGGAAGCAATAAACTACTGAGTGTTGAGTAAACTCATTTATTATTTTGCCAGTTGGCTTTTAATAAACACTTTTCCACTTCCCAGTATACCACTGCTTCAGGAAAATAAATGAGCCAATGCTGAGAAGAAGCAGCGCAAGAAACTCAGTCACTATTGTTTGTTTTCCTGCAAAAATAAAATCAATTACATACTTAACACTCTAAAAACTTTTCCTTACAGAAAGAAACAGACGAGAAGTTATACCAAGAAGCGCTCATCAATGCGTTGGGAGAATTCGCTGACCATCTCCCAGACTTCCAGAAGATCGATATCATGATGTTTATCATCAGCAAAGTGCCCAGTAGTCAGCGTGGGAAGAGCACCAAGGCTGATGCCATGCTGCAGACTATACTGCTGAAGTCGCTGCTCAAAGTTAGTATTATAAGTGACGGTAGTACACTATAAGCGATGGTACACTATAAGTGACGGTCTACTGTAAGTGACGGTACACTATAAGTGACAGTCCATCCACTATGTGCTATAAGTGACGGTATACTATAAGTGTCAGTCCATTCACTATAAGTGCTATAAGTGACGGTACACTATAAGTGACAGTCTATCCACTATGTGCTATAAGTGACGGTCTACTATAAGTGACGGTACACTATAAGTGACAGTCCATCCACTATAAGCACAGAATAATAATAATGTCTATCACTTCTTACTTCTTTTGCTAAGGATCACCTCGTATCTGAATCGAGGTCATAACTCCGATCATAATAGCATGCGTCATCTTTTTTTCGGTGGTCTTGTGTCATCATATGAGGCTCACAGTAAGGGGTAAAATTTGTAGATGCAACGTAGTTTTATAAATTAGCTCTACTATTTCTCTGTTATGTTTTTGACGCCTAAAACCTCCACCTCAAAATTTTCTAATCCCACCAAAATTTAACCTTCAATATATCTTCCAGGTGGGCACAACGTATAAGACAACAGAACTCAGCAAGGCATTCCCTGCAGCATTCTTAGAGGCGTTACTCCGCGTTTGCCACGCGAGCGAACCCGCGGCGCGCGCTATACTGCAGCGTATATTACACACGCTGCTGGACAGGCACGGGAACTCGCCCGCGCTTATAACGCCGCAGTAAGTTGTAGCAGGCCTGTTCATCTCCGCGAGTTTACATCGAAAACAAAACACGCATGATGGCCCCGTACAGGATACTATTCGACAAGGCCTCACATACGAGCGAACATTGACTCACGCATGCGTATTCTTGTGTATGATGGAAGAAAATAAAGAAAATAGTGTACTAAATACTGTGCAGTATTTAACTGCCTAAATAATAATAAAAACAGAATGTACTTTTTTAAGTTGCCTCAAGACGCTGAGAGGTAAATAAGAAGTTAATATTATTCATGATAATTCATGCTAAATCATGTATTTCCTCCGCCATTTTCCGCAGTTTGGCACCTCACGTCACATCATTTTACCGAAGTCAGCCCTATAGCTTCGGCGCAGTGCCGATCACTGACGTTTGTCAACAAAATGGTGCTTGACTCTTGAGACAGGCTAAATTACACCATATTGTTAATGACATTGAGCATACATTTTTTTAAATACCTTCGCGAAGTAAAACTTATGTACGTAGTACTTATTATTATTCTGTGGTTGTAGTTTAAGTCAGTTTTAGTGGTTCTATCAAAGGATTTATGTTAGCCAGACAAACACCTTACACATATAAAAATACACGAACAAAGTAAATAATAGGGATGTTTCCTGGGTAAAAAAGCAAGAGTTTTAATTAGACCGTCAGTTAGCTTATCAAAAACTACTCGACACGTATTTTTCACTTTTTAAAACTAATGAAAATGTAAAGAGATAAAGCGTGCCAAAGTTCTAAAGAAAAGGCCCGTGACGTCAGAGAGTGCGTAAAAGTGCAGAACTTTGTGACGTCGCGCGGAACTACAACGCACTATAACTTTGTAATTATTTAATAATGAGGGGAATAATGAACAAAAAGTTCATTAATCCCCGTTGACGAGGATTGTCAATGGGGAATAGTGGAATAAGCCCACTAGTTCCTGAGATTAGCGCGTTTAAGTAAACTAAAAGTACTTTATGAATTAAAAATGGTTTTTAGATTGGAATACGCGGAATTAGGCCTGTCTGTGGAGAAGTGTTCCCGCCAAGACCTGATCTTCATCAGCAAGCATGGCTACGCGATCTTCAGCTCATTGTATGACGGTAAGTTTTTTAATTTATTTATAACGACACAATACTGCCCCAGGAGAGGCCTTTGTCCAGCAGTGGACGTCTTTCGGCTGAAACATATCACATAATACTATGTAATATGTTACTTCAAACATGTTTCTATTTTTTATGTATCTGTCAACGTGAAATTGTGAACTCCGTCAGTTCATAACATAACGTATGAGATTGTAAACTAACAATGGGCTAGGTTAAGTTAGATTATAATCTGACGGAATTCATAGTTTTCCGGTGTCATTTTCATCTGTGTAATGAATGCAGAACGTTGTTTCCAGTAACCAAAATCGAATATCATTATCATCATTAATAATTTCAGCCACAGGACGTCCAATGCTGAACATAGGCCTCCCCCAATTATTTCCAAATTGGCTGATTGGCCTGTATCCACCGCCTTTTCGGTTTACACATTAGTATCGGCCTGAGGAACAAAATGCACTATGGGTTGATTCTGGGCAGCATTTTTAGTCCACTGGCACTATCCTTTGTGTAAAATAGAACTGCTAGAATCAATACATCCTTGCTAACTTGCTAATTCTGTAAACAATATTAGAAATCTCCGTTAATATACTGTAACTAGCGGCCGCCCGCGACTTCGTACGCGTGGATCCCGTTTTACCCCCTTAGGGGTGGAGTTTCGTAAAATCCTTTCTTACCCTACGTCATAACATCTACCTGCATGCCAAATGTCAGCCCGATCCGTCCAGTGGTTTGGGATGTGCGTTGATAGATCACTATTTCAGTAACTGCTATAGTCTGGTCCGTGAGCATGTAGAATTTTGTCCAATGACCCCAGGCTACTTATCCTTATCGCTCGCGCGTAATGAGGGTTATCGTTTTTATACTTAACAGTTGGCACCCCTGGCGATTGACAGGACCTTACTCTACAGTGGCGCCATCTTGATGAGTGCAAATGCGATAGTCCTCCTACCACTTTAGCGCTCACCAGTTGGTGCCACTGTCTTCGCTACTAGCAAGTGACAGGACCTTACTCTACAGTGGCGCTAACTGGTGAGCGCTAAAACGATAGCCCTCATTATAATGCTGTCGCGACTGTGCGACGCGCGCCCGCAGTGAGTGTGCGAGCGCGACAGCAACATAATTACGTGCGAGCGACAAGGATGGACAGCTTGGGGTCATTGGACGGGATTCTACGTGCTCACGGACTGGGCTTTAGAATCAATAAATTTTTGCTAACTTGCTAATATTCTGTAAACAATATTAAAACTCTCCGCTGATACTGTAATGTCTTTCCTTAGGTTTACAACTGGAATCGAACACGCTAGAGAACATAGAAGCGATATACACAACGCTGGCCCTACTGATCATCGAACTGGCGTGCGAGGAGACCGTCTGCGACATACTACAGCTGGTACTCGCGTGAGTATTTATTTTACCAGCTTTTGCTCGTAGCTCCTCTCGCGTTAAACTTTGGACCCCGTTTCATCCCTTTAAGGCAGTGGTTCTTAACCTTTAAGTCACGAGGGACCATTTTACCAAAGGATGATGGGCATATTGGGCGTTAAACCAACAGAAACAAAAAGTATACTAAATTAAAGCTTAATACTAGTACTTCATTTCATAGTATGACAACAATCCTGAAATACGCGGGGATACGGAGATAGGGGTCGTTGAATATGCAAAGTTTCCATAGTATTTCACATCACATTAGGGTAATAAAAATAGTATTAGGTCAATTAGATTGCTTTTATCGATCATATTGAGAGTATTGTATCATATCTTACTATAGATTCTATCGATTTAGTAAGTATGTATACCGAATAAATCATAATCGATTATTCGATTGCAATAATCGATTATATTGCTGAAAATAAGGAATTGAATTAACAATCAAATGATAGTAATGATGGTAATCAATAAAATCGATTAATCGAATTGTTAATCGATAAATCGATATTTGGCAATATCGATTAATAATCGATCCGTGATCGATTATGCGACAACACTACAACTTAACTGGTAGAAATCCCATTGAAACATGACTGTGTTCATGTCATTTCTCTAAATGGTACCTAGGTATGGTCCTACGCTTATAATGTAGAACATGGTTTAAATATACCATTTGTTGGCCCCACTCCTGAACTGTTGGACATAATAATGGATAAATAACTTAATGTATTTAAAATGTAAGTAGATAAGTATATTAATTAATAATATTTTTTGTTTGCGCAATAAAGCACCTATTACTATTACACATTATGTCAATTTCCAAGCAAACCCGGGAGTTTTTGGTAGTTATTTATATGAAAATATATTTCTGATATTAAGTCCTAACAAATAATAGTAGTTACATTTCTGTTGGTTTTACGCCCAGATTCCATAGAAAAGTGCCCATCATCCTTTCTGTCTTGTCAGGGACCACTTTTTTTTTCAAATTCCTATGAAAGGGGAGGTCGATAACTCGACTCATCACGTCACGTCACTTGTTTATTACGATATCTTCGTGGACCACTTGGAATGCCTCCAAATCAAATCAAATCAAATCAGTTTATTCGCGTGAAAAGTGGTCTACAAGTTCTTACAATATTAAGATGTCCGCACAGTCCACCAGAAGCTGGCATGCAAATATTGTTAACATTATATTTATAACATTAAAAATTAATAACATTATATTTATAACATTAAGGGCTGATTTTTCAATCGTTAGATAACTTATAACTGAAGAATAAGTTTGGCACATTGACAGTTTCAGTATGGAAAATATGTCAAAATGTCAAAAATCAGCCCTAAAATAATTAACAATCCAGGGACCACCAGTAGTCCGCGGACCACCTGTTAAGAACCACTGCTGGGGTGAATTTTGGAAAATCATACTTCTAAGTATCTGCGTTCTGCGGTGCAATCCGTTCTATGGTTTGGGCTGTGTAATTATGAATGAGTCAGTAACGATGGTCTTTATCCTCGTATACACAGACTAGCGGCCGCCCGCGACTTCGTACGCGTGGATCAGATTTTTTCATACAAACGTTTTTTCCCGCTAACTCTCGTTCCCGTGGGAATTTTGCAATATCCTGTTGTAACTAAGCTTTAAGTTTACTAAAGTACCTGCATGCCAAATTTCAAGCGTCTAGCCTAAGCGGTTTAGATTTTTCATACAAAAGGATTTTCCCGCTAATTCCCGTTCCCGTGGGAATTTCGGGAATTCCTTTCTTAGTGCACCTCTACGGTACCTAAGCTACGTCCCTTCCAAATTTCAAGTGCCTACGTTTAGCCGTTTAGGCTGTGCTTTGATATGTCAGTCAGTCAGTCAGTTTCTCCTTTTATATTGTTAGATTTACCTTACGGTATCCACATGTTTTCCGATTAAAAGCCAATAAATATCCACTTACGTTCAAAGTGAACTTCTTATGTATGTGGTAGGCCACAGGCCTACATGCCTTTAGTTTGTTTACTAATAGTGAGTATTGTTAGCAGCACGCAACAATAGATTATAGCATCATTTACTGATCACACGTAATTTGTCTGATTGTCACCGCGATCCTATTATTTTCGCTGTGCAATTTTTGTCTGGAATTATTTCGCTCCATGAACTGAACAGTAGATTTTTTGTGCAGTAGGTTTATTAATGACTAGTTTTTGTCTGCGATTTCGCTCAAGTTAAGGGCGATATCACAAGAGCAATTTCTCGGCAAAGTGAGAACACATTGTGTGCGCTGGTATTCCAGGTTCGTTCAATCTTTGTACAAATGTAGTGGTCCCCTGGATGTGCATTTCATGTCCCTACCCAAATTCAAGGCTACAGCAACCGACTCTATATCATAATAATTTTACTTATGCTAACTAAGCAGCAACTTATATTTCTTGCAAGCTGTGTATACCTCTAAGTGATAGTGCAATTACTTAATATTTTGCGTATTTTTTAACATATTGTGTATTGTTGTACCTATCGTTGGTGTACCTAATAAATAAATAAAATAAATAAATAAATTGTATAACACTTCCGTTTCATTCCTCTGAGGTGTAAATTTTTTAAATTTAAGAGCCACAACACACAAGCTATTTTTAGCATCGGCGATTTTGCGACTTCATGCGTTCGGACGTGGTATCGGAATGGCGTGTTTTAGCGACTGCTGTCGCTGCGTCGAGATTCCGAAAAGCGACTCAATCGCCGCATTTAGCATTTTTAGGTTCAGCCAAACCAACGCGTGCGGCCTGTGTGAGCGACGGCGATCAGTAGAAATCGGTAGTATCGCCATCATGCACGCAGACTGCACGCGTGGTTTTGACCGTTCCTTATTCCTTTAGGTGTGCGGTGTTGAATTTTGAAAATGTCTGGTGTAAAAAAGTGGCTAAATCACCGATCGCCGATGTATCATTTTTTCTTTTGCATTTTGTAGCTTGCCGAATTTTACTGTACTGTAAAACTTTGCCGCAACCCTAACATCATTTACACATTAAGTATAGCCTGACCAGGAACATAAAAACCCTCGCCATGTTGCGGAAAACTAATGGTACTAATTTCTTTTAATGGCAACAGTAACTGAAAACTTCATTGACATGTCACCTTGCATGTCAGTCTATTGTTGTCAAAGTGTAAACAAACTTTATTTTAAATGTGTGCAATTGATTTTGTGAATTAAATTGCTAAAATATTTTTATAGTCGTGAAAGAAAAGTGGTTCACGATGTGTTAATGTATTTGTCGAAGAGAAATACTAAGGGTTCGGACAATATTTTCATTGAATAATGTTTCCGACAAAGGTTGTCAAATTGACTGACATGTTTATCGTATAGTACAGTCCACTATGAAAATTAGCTGTAGTCTGTTTCAACTACCTATTTTAAAGTTTTTTGTCACTTTCTAAGTTTTGAATTTTATGGAATTGGGAAAGAAGTACCGAGTTTGAAGCGTTCATGAGCAGACATTGCAGTTGAATATTCATGTTCTGAATTTGATTATTGATGAATAATAAAATAAATCCTACTAGCTCGATTGATGGTTTCATTTAATTTATTTAAACCAGGTTACTTTTAATAATATTTTTCGTTAATTTATGAAAATATAAAAATTAGCCCGTAATCCTGATACATAAATTTAGCCTATTAATTTAACACATGTACGACTGTACTCGGTGTTGCACTATCAAATGCAATTGAAGCGCCTCTATGCCAGGGTTTTTATGTTCCTGGTCAGGCTATAATAGTTTAATTTTTTGGAAGCTCTGCAATTTACTACTTTAGATCCTATCTGTGGACAATGGTTCTGGTTGCATTGTTACAAAATTTTCAAATTATTAAGATTTAGTACATAAGCTCTCAATGTAACTGTTTGTTGTCTACACTAATATTATAAAGAGGAAAACTTTGTTTGTTTGTTTGATTGTAATGAATAGGCTCAAAAACTACTGGACTGTTTTTTAAAATTCTTTCACCATTCGAAAGCTACATTATCCACGAGTAACATAGGCTAAGTTTTATTTTGGAAAAAAATAGGGTTCCGTAAAATTTTAATATGTAGATAATGTAGTCCACGCGCGCGAAGCCGCGGGCGGAAAGCTAGTCCCAAATAAAGAGAGAAAAAAAATCATGTGTCTTGTGGCTGTAAGCGTTTTTTGTTTTTATTTTAGCATCCAGCAGTCAGCACTATCCAATCCGGTGCTGGGAGTAGCCCAGCAGTGCCAACTGCACGCGCTCGTGGCTTCACTTCTAGCGTTGCTGCCACACGTTATGCGTCTGCAGCGCCTTGGGGACTACGTGCACAAGGTATACTCAAATATCATCAACTTATCATCATCATTTCAGCCACAGGACGTCCCCTGCTGAACATAAGCCTCCCCCAATGATTATTACACCAGCTCTTTCGGTCTCCAGAATCCAGGATCACGACTCTCTATAATCTAAGGAACTAAGTGCACAAGGTACATTACTACGTCATCATCACTAGGTCATGACCACAACATCAATACCACATCACTAGTTTATCACTAGCTCATCTTTAGCACATATCTAGTACTTCATCAACTCATCTTAAATTAATCACCTGCTCATCCAGCTTACCACCAGCTGATCATCTGCTCATCACCACCTCATAACCAGCTCACTACTACCTCGTCACCAGTTCCAGTTCATCACCAGCTCAAGTCTCCTAAAGCTGAAAAAAGACACTATCATCAGATCATTATTGCCCGTTTTCACTATCAATCCCTAATTTTTAAGTAACCCCTATGAAAACAAAATTCCTGTTATGTGTTACCATAGGGGTCACTTAAAAATTAGGGATTGATTGTGAAAGCGGGCATAAGTCTCAGAACCACGACCCCAGCATCCGAAGAAGAAGTTATGCTTTTTCTGTCAAAATGTCCACTTTTCTTTAATATCAACTCGTGTGTCTCCACAGATCATCGAATCCCGGAGCTCGGAAGCACCTCAATTACTGCCGCCACTACGCAGCGAGTATCCACAGCTGGCACCCGCAGACATGCCTTCCAGCCTGCCCTACCTCATGGTGGACCAGGTAAGGGAATAGGGACTAAAACACCACTCTATTTATTTATTTATCTACTCCTATTAACCCCTACTCTTCCCACGGGTCTGTCGTAAGAGGCGACTTAGGGACCACATCAAATAGAGAACGGGCAGCACCGCTCTCTGAAAATCATCAATCTTTTAAACTGCGATCTCCAACCCGCCTGCCAAGCGTGGAGATTATGGCAAAACCCTCCACTACAGTGGAGGAGGCTCATAGTCCAGCAGTAGTAGTAAAGGGCTGTTGATGATTTATTTATTTGTACTGAGAGACTTTTCATGAGCTGCCATGTTGAAACGCTAACGTATAAAAGTCGAAACATTTGCAAATGTGTATTGCACATCAGTTCAGTGCTGGATTACCATTCAAAATGTCTACAATAAGGTTTCTGGCAAAATAAAATCCACTCGTAGAAATTAATAAACTCAAGTGTTGAATACACTTCACGAGAATAATTACACACAGCACTAGAATCGTATCTGAACTGAGTGTGAACCAACGGTTTCGCGATAGGAACGTCCGTCCCGAGTGATAGTTGAACATAGACTCGCTTAGCTCAATGATTCCCCCACCAACACAATTCCGTTCTCGTTTCGTTACTCAATTGACTCCATCGTAATAACGTTACGGCGTTCACTCATTTCCGGTACTAAAGCCCGGTCCGTGAGCACGTAGAATTTTGTCCAATGACCCCAAGCTACCCATCCTTATCGCTCGCGCGTAATTATATTGCTGTCGCGACTGTGGGACGCGCGCCCGCAGTGAGTGTGCGAGCGCGACAGAAACATAGCGCGAGCGATAAAGATGGGTAGCTTGGGGTCATTGGACAAAATTCTACGTGCTCACGGACCAGACTATACATTAATCAATTTGAGAACTTATTGCTAAATTATCGCAAAATTAAGAAAATAAATTATGAAGACTGCGTGCGACATAGACATTTATTAAAATAAAGAATACTTAACTGTTTATTTTAGATGGCAGTCTGTGAGTGCCTGAAGGCAAGTGGAGTGGAATCAGCTCGTCTGCAAGCCGCTGCCCCGTATGCAGGAGGCGCCGCTTTATCCTTGGCCCATAGACATAGCTGGGTGGAAGCCGGTAAGATATAGTAACTTATACCTTATCTGCAAGGACTTAAGTCCTAAAGTTCCTTAAGGCCAGTGGAGTGGAGTCAGCTGGGTGGAAGCCGGTGAGATCTACTACCTTAGATATTGGTTGTCATATGCTGAAAGTTCTATACACAGTTGACAGGACATCAGACTATACATATTTGTTGCAATATAGCACCAAATACAAGTACATAGAGTACCACAGTGCTTACCTTGATGTGCCGTCATTTTTGTCACTCATAGACATGCTTTCCTAAATCATTCATCATCATCATTTCACCCATAGGACGTCCACTGCTGAACATAGGCCTCCCCCAATGCTTTCCATGCTGCCCGGTTGGTAGCGGCCTGCGTCCAGCGCCTTCCCGCTACATTTACGATGTCGTCGGTCCACCCACAAGGTGGACCGACGTCCCACGCTGCGTTTTCCAGTACGCAGCCTCCACTCTAGAACCTTGCCGGCCGATGGGGCAGCAAGGTTTTAGAGTGGAAGCTGCGTACCTAAATCATTACACACATCTAATTTCATCTCAGTTTTTGTGGGTGTCGAGCCTTACTCGGTGAACTGACGACGTGATAAAGGTCGTGGGAAGCGTCTGGATGCGGGACATGCAGGACCAGTCATTGTGGAAATCCTTAGGAAATTCCTTTGTCCAGCAGTAGACGTAATTGGGGTTGAAGAAAGTTTAAAACAATATACAAATAGGTACAAATTTTTTATTCAGTATCAGGTTACATTTATAACAGGGTTTCGATTGGGGTTTTCTTTTAAGTAAAAATAGATACTTGTGTTAGAAAACCCCGCTCTCCATACAATGATTACATTAAGAAGTTATACAGCTAGAAAATACAATGCATATCTGTTGACTTATTTTATAAGGAGGATTGTGTGGACGCGAATGTAATATGTGTGTGTGTGTGTGTGTGCGTGCATACGTGCGTGCGTGTGTGCTTGCGTGTGTGTGTGTAGTTATCATGTAGTAGTAATTATATAACCCATTTAGTTTATTTCGAGCGAGCAAAAGAAGACTCCGCGAAGGCTAGTCATATTATTATATTCACCTTGTATGTTTGTCTGTTCAGGGGCAGCGCAAGGCCGCGACAGTTTAGCTGATATTGCGGCCGGGCCCGCGGCGGAGCCCGACAGTGCTAACAGCTCGCCGGGTGTTCAAAGAGTAAGTGTATGCAACGAGCTAGGGCCTAGGCATATCCATCGTGAGACTGCTTTTTCACAAGACGGGACTGTTCCCACCTCTCGTCCCCACCACTGTAACTTTTCCATGAGAAATGTACTAAGTAATAACTTTATTTAATTAAGGAAATATTAAAGAGTCTTATTGGCACATCTTGCTATGTGGTACGTTGAGCGACTGCTTCTCTCACTTTAGCCAGGACAGACGCTGCATAGACTGAATATTATAGAATAAAAAGTAAAAAGAGTCTCCGTCGCCATCGCAAAGAAATGATGCGCATGTGTGCAATAAATTAGTGATGTTTCAGATTGTCGATAAAATAAAATACTCAAGATTAAAAAACAAAATTACCTCTAAAAATATGGCAAGGATGCAAAGTAACACCCTGTATTTGCATATACCCCTCAGTCTGGTACTGGTAGTTCTGGCACCTCTATCCTCCGCTCCCCTGTTATACAGTGTGAGTCACGTTAAAGTGTACATATGAAAATAGATGAAACTAGACCTATTTTTATCGACAAAAAAGAGGTCAAAAAATTTTTGAGTTTTTTTTTATTTTTTACAGAATTTTTTTTCTTCCAATTACTTAATTGTAAAGAAAACGTAATAACTTTTAAAGTAAGCGGTATATCCTGATAAAATAAAAACAGTAATAATGCTAAATAACAGGACATACTAAAAAAAAATACATAAAATACACAAAAAAGGCCAACAAATAATAAAAAATGATACTTTTTGAAAAAAATCTGCTTTTAAATTCGTGTTTTTTTGGTTATTTGATAAATTTCTCCAAAAAATGCCCCTATAACCGGTGGTTTTTATTACTTTGTATTATTCTCTATCGTATTATCTTTGTAAAACCAAAAATCGCATGTCTCTATCCCCCTAACCCCTCCCCCTCCCCCCTACCCCCTGTCCCCAGCAGCCGCAGCACGACGCGCTGGACGAGGAGTACCGCATGTTCATCGAGAAGTACAACCACAACCACCGCCCCACCATGCAGAACTTTGGCACTTATGTAAACGGATTAACATTTGGTTTTCATCGACCCGTCTAAAGCCCGGTCTGCGAGCACGTAGAATTTCGTCCAATGACCCCAAGCTACCCATCTCTATCGCTCGCGCGTTATATTGCTGTTGCGACTGTGCGACGGGCGCCCGCAGTGAGTGTGCGAGCGCGACAGCAACATAATTACGCGCGAGCGATAAGAATGAGGTCATTGGACAAAATTCTACGTGCTCACAGACCAGACTTTTTCATTAGTTTTTTTTATTAGCGTACAGTTGTGATAGTGAATATTTTGTTCTACTTTATTCGTAAACAAGGAGGTTTTAATATTTTTTACCTTTTCTTGACTAGAAGAGTAGAGGTCACTTTCATTTCTTTTATTTGTCATAAATCAAATCAAATCAAATCAAATCAAAATTCAAATCAAAATTCATTTATTTGCTTGATAAGCGGTACACAGCAGATGTCCATATAAAAATAGTTCGCACAAATCACCACAACTGGCATGCAAATAGCTTACAACTACTTAATCTACGCAATTTAATAGACACATGCAACAAAACAGGAAACATGTGGGTACATACTACTGAAACTTAAAAGCATCAAAGTATTCCTTAATGGTGTAAAAACCCTTCCCAATCAGCCATGATTTTAATTTTCCTTTAAAAATATTTAACGGCAAAGATTTCATTTCTTCGTCCAACCTATTATAAACCTTAATAGCCATACAGTACGCATTATTAATACATAAAGATGTCGTCACGATAGGAAGGTTTAATTTATGAGGACGTCTTATATTAAAATTGCAAACGTCTTTTTTGGTTTGAAATAAGTTGAGGTTGCTTTTGACAAATACACATAGCTCATAAATATACAAACACGGGACAGTCAGCAATTTGAGTTCCTTAAAAAGTGGTCTGCAAGATGTTAAAATATCAACATTGCAGATTGCCCGAATACACTGCTTTTGGGCTATAAGTACCCGTTGAACATGGCATGAGTTGCCCCAAAGAATAATGGCGTACCTGAGAAGAGAACTCACATAACCATGGTATGCCTGTATGGCAACTTTTTTCTCACAGATTTTTGTTAGCCGCCATAGTGCATAAGCAAACGAATTTAATTTAGTGCACATTTTATCGATATGACTCTTCCACGAGCAGCGATCATCCAGTAATATTCCCAAGAATAAAGTCTGAGATGATTCTTTAATATCCTCACTTCCAAATTTGACTTGTAAGGGGACTTTATTTGCATTTTTATTAATAAATTGTATAAATGTCGTTTTGTTTATATTAGCATGTAGATTATTGTTATTGAGCCAGGTGATTACTTTATATATTGTGTCATTGATGTCTTGATTGTATGTTTTAGTATCGTTGCACGGTATGACAACAGATACATCGTCAGCGAAAAGATTACATTTAAATTTTATACAATTAGGAAGGTCATTTATATATAATAAAAATAATAAGGGACCTAAAATACTTCCTTGTGGTACCCCNCAGTCCGAAAAAAAAAAAATTAATCATACAGAAATAGTGTATTGCAGCGTTGTACGCTGATTGGATAGATGTATGGCGAATATAGTAATAGCGGTTTGCTTGAATTTAATGATCGACTTGACTGGTGAATGCTGTGTACATTGTATGTTCATATGGTCCGTATCGAAATGAGTACAAATTAAATCAAATCAAATCAAAATTCATTTATTTGCTTGATAAGCGGTACACAGCAGATGTCCATATAAAAATAGTTCGCACAAATCACCACAACTGGCATGCAAATAGCTTACAACTACTTAATTTACGCAATTTAATAGATACATGCAACAAAACAGGAAACATGTGGGTACATACTACTAGGGCATGTAATATCGGAAGGTTTTCAATTCCGATATTGGATTCCGATATTAGATCTCAATATCGGAATTCCGATATTAATATCGGAATTGAGTTCATGTGCTACAAAATTAATATTTGGTTATATTCGTAAGAATTCTGGATTGTTTACAATAAAATAATGATTTTAATCAAAATCTTTAATTTGGTACAAAACAGCACTTCATAAAATTGAAGTATTTTAAACCATTTTTACGTTATGGGTATCCATTGCATTTGGTTTTTTATGTGACAAGAGGCAAACGAGCAGACGGATCACCTGATAATGAATGGTTACTGATAATGAGCCTATATGGACTAGCAAATTTCAATTTCAATTTTCAATTTATTCATTCCAATTAAAGTGTTTTTGTAAAATCACAGGTATCAAACAAACTTTTACTCCTTCATTATATTACCCTGTTTTATGTTGGCGGAACGAATTTTAGAGTCATTCAAATCACGTGTTACAAAAATTGTAGAGAGTGGTAAAAAACTTGAATATGCTTGTAATTTGTTCCTTTTTGATTATCGATGTACAACTCACAAAACCACGAGCCACCATCATCATCATGTCAGCCATAGGACGTCCACTGCTGAACACAGGCTCCGATGCTGATTTTCACAATGGCCGGTTGATGGCGGCCTGTATCCAACGCCTTTCTGCTACCTTTATGGTTATGAGTCCTACGCTGCGCTTTCCGGTACGTGGCCTCCACTTCAGAACCTTGCTGCCTCATCGTCCGTCTGTTTTGCGTACTAAGGCAGAACCGTTGGAAGACCTTGTCACAATGCTCGAAGACCTTAATCGAGTTTCGATGATGAATATGGAAAAAACTAAGCTTATGTCGAATGTCCATGTTGCTCCTTACCGAGTTTCGGTTAGGAGCTCAATTCTCGAGATTGTTGACAAGTAAGTATGTCTTGTGTATCTCGGACAAACGATCAGCTAGGTAGTTAGATGCAATTTCGAGAAAGAGGTAAATCGTCGAATACGAAGACGAAAGTCTTCAATTAGTGTGTGTTACCAGTGATGATATACGGCTCGAAAACGTGGCCTTTGAATATAGGGCACAACGTGCTATGGAGACGGATAAGCTTGGTGTTTCTTTACGAGATCTAATCAGAAATGAGGAGCTTCGTAAACTAACTAAGGTCGCTGACATAGCCCGACGGATTAGCAAGCTGAAGTGGCAATGGGCAGGGCACATAGTACGCAGAACTGACGGTCCATAAGTAGTCCAGTAAAATTAATGTTTGAAAGGGAGTTGAGATGTCGTTCTTTGTTGACCAAGTACCTATGGCAATTGCTAAAATTGATTTAGAACAAGTTCAATTAACCATAAATAGTAAAGATATTAAAATATTTGCAGTGGAACAAAAAGTGATGGTGAGAGACATGAGAAAATCATTGGTCTTTGCCAATCATGTACTTTGGGCTTTGTGGCAGGTTGTGGCGAGTTTAAACGCTTTGATTAAAATCTCAATTAAAACTTTTATCTGATTCCGATATTACGATATTGGGTCGCTCAATATCGGAATTGAAATATCGGATCTGGCAGTCCGAGATTCCGATATTACGAGATTCCGAGATTCCGATATTCATGCCCTACATACTACTGAAACTTAAAAGCATCAAAGTATTCCTTAATGGTGTAAAAACCCTTCCCAATCAGCCATGATTTTAATTTTCCTTTAAAAATATTTAACGGCAAAGATTTCATTTCTTCGTCCAACCTATTATAAACCTTAATAGCCATACAGTACGCATTATTTATACATAAAGATGTCGTCACGATAGGAAGGTTTAATTTATGAGGACGTCTTATATTCAAATTGCAAACGTCTTTTTTGGTTTGAAATAAGTTGAGGTTGCTTTTGACAAATACACATAGCTCATAAATATACAAACACGGGACAGTCAGCAATTTGAGTTCCTTAAAAAGTGGTATGCAAGATGTTAAAATATCAACATTGCAGATTGCCCGAATACACTGCTTTTGGGCTATAAGTACCCGTTGAACATGGCATGAGTTGCCCCAAAGAATAATGGCGTACCTGAGAAGAGAACTCACATAACCATGGTATGCCTGT